TCAGCCGCCCTGCGGGGAGCAGCCCAGGCCCTCCTGTACCATCCCAGCTTTATCCGTTTTGGAGTCTTTTGTGGTCTTTTCCTGAAAGATTGCCGTTATACCTGCTGTCAGTGACTCAAGTAAGGATATTACTTGTTTTTTACGTTAAAAAAAAAACACAAACAAGCCCAACTCGCAAACCAGGTTCACTCAGCCTTGTCTTACAATACACAAGGTTGTTGGAATACATTTATTAGGTGGTTTTATGGCTTTTTAATGATACTCAGGTCACGTTTTTGAACTTTTCTCTGTCAATATAAGCAGCTTTTTTTTTCCCCCCCATCTTCAGTTTTAAGATATAAATAAAACTGAATCCTGACGATCTGCCTGCTGCGGGTTAAGAGAAAATGAGAGCTGCACGTCGTAAGATAATATCCTGTGAATGTTTAATACTGATGCCACATGCTAATGCGCTGCCCTCAGAGAATTAAAATTGTTGCGGATTATGGAAACTGTGTTTAACGAAAAAAGCTCAGGCCTGTTCTTTGCGGAGGAGGATCTTTCCTTGTGCAGTTTGCAGTTCCAGTTTTCTGCACTATTAAGAATATCTATCTATCTCTTTACTTATATGGTCATTTTACTGAAAGTCACAGTTTTGATGTCTCTTCTGGTTCACTGGAGTCTGTGCAGTGACGTTGCTAGTTAGCAATCTCTGTTTTATACAGTGACTCTTTCTCTTCCTGATCAGTTTAAGCCTGTTTCAGTTCCAATATATAGTCTAAACTGAATAATAAGCTTTGTAAAATGTATTGACATCCTAATTAGATCAAGAAACCAGCCAGAATGTAATATTGGCATTAACATCTTGAGGTTTGGAAAATCCAATTACTGTGCTTTGTCTGAAAACTGCACTGCCTCCAACTTTACCTATGACAGCCACCTCGCTGGTTGCTGGAAGCTAAACTATTTCTTTAGCTGTATTATATATTTGAATTTTTTGTTTTATTATTGTAGAGTATCCCTCTGTCACCCTGGACTGTGACTGCTGGGACGGTGTGATGCTGTACTGCACCGTGTATGCTGCCCAGGTCAGATCCCTGCTAGCTCGGGGGGCTTTAAGTCACCATCCGTTATAGAGCCTTGGCCAATCTCTTCAGGCCCCCAGAGAGACATTTCCCAGTGACAAGCTATCAGATAAGTAAAGAGGGCTTTGCTCACGTTATCTCAAAGAAAATGTAACGTAAAGCTGGAAAAGGAGAGGAGATTCTCTTCAGAAACCCCAGGCAAAGTGGACAGGAGCTTTGTTGAAATACTGCAGCCATATGGTTCCTTTTCTTTAGAGGTGTTAAAATATTGTGAGGTGCAGGCAGCCAAGCTCTGATTTTAATTTAACTATTGAAGGCCCACCAAACATTTGACTGCACAAAACAGGCAGCCACATTCTTGATTTAGAGTAGCCCTTGACTGTTTCTGAAGAGGAAAGTGTCTCAGATTGACTCCTTTCTAATCCCCAATAAAATGGCCTCTGAACAGGGAAGGAAGGTGAAGATCTGATACCGCCCAGCCAGCCCTAGTTACTGAATTAATCATTTCAGACCTGTAGAGCAAATTAGTCTCATTTTTCCGTAGGTCTGGCCTAATTACGTTTTTGCTCTCTCAAATTTCCAACTACACTTTCAGTTGGTTAAGGTGTACTTGTCTGCTTCCTGTGTTAAAGTTTTATCAAACATCATTAAATATTGGCGATATTTGACTGCAAAATGTTTGCATTCCAGTAAGGCACTTATTAATTCTCCTATATTGACAACTGGATTTCTATTCCTATTAGACCAGTTATACATCTGTCTATTTGTAATTGGCCGTAATGTACTGCAATGCTTATTATTTTTATAATAAAAGGCTATAATATTGTATTAATAGTAAGTTAAATTAAAATAAGTCACATATTTATTTTTATACATTTGGATTTCAGTTATAATTATTTCAAATATAGTTATGCAGGAGGTAATACCTTTAGCTTTTGGCAATGATCAATAATTGCTTAAAGCAGGAAGTGAAATCTCACTGGGAAGTTTTACAGGATCAGATTTAAATGCCTGAATTGGAATTTTGCAAGAACACTAGTTTAACAACTTGTCTTGAGAATTGCTTGTATTTTTTTTCCAAGGTTTAATGAAATCACAGCGCAAGCCGCTTGTAGGTTAATGATAAACTTTATTGAGAGACAGTAGCCTACACACAGAGCAGAAGAGACAGATAAAGAAATAATTGAAAATGTGATCAAGATAAGATTGTCAGGAAAAAAAATATTCGTTGTGGGTACACTGTTATGTAAATAAATTCTCTTCCTCAAAATTTCATCAGCAAAAATTTTACGGCTAGTGATGGCAGTAATTTAAATTCACTTATTTGATCCGCGTTTTCAAACACGGAGCATCTTTTAGAAAGTTTGATCCTGAAAGCAAAGAACACCAAAACTCATATCACATTTAGACTGAGAAAATCTGAGAACAAGCTAGACGAAAGTTTTCCAACACAGTGTTCTTGCACTAAAAAATGTGAAACTTAGCAAACTCTCCATTCAGGAATTGATCATCTTCTTTCTCAATTTGTCCTATAAGCAGCTGTTAGTGCAACTTTAAAAAAAAAAAATGAAGAGGCAAGTTACAAATTGGAATTTTGAATCTCAGAATCTTGCTCTGGCAGGACCCGTGGCAGCTAGGGCATCAATGTATTGCGTATATGTGAAGGTTCCTGAAAAATTCAGACTCCTATCAACAGTTAGAGGCCAAAGCCTTCCTGTAATGGCCTGATCTTCTTAGTTCAGCTGTACTCAGGAGAGTGACAGATCTGCTTTTTTTCCTTTCATACAGATTCACTGATTTATAAAAAGTCATAGAAAAACAGTGTAATTTAGACATGATTTCAGTAGCTTATTAGCCTTTATTTAAATCTATATTTAATCTTTATTTAAAAGCTTATTAATCTCTATTTTGTTATATATTAGTTACAAGCACACTCACCTGGAGCTAGGTAAGCCAAGTAAGTGGGAATTCCTCTGCACAGAGCTTGAATGGGTTTTCCGTACGGGGCCAGGTTTTGAACTCTGGTTCTTGACACAGTGAAGCAATGCTCCGGGGGTGGAAGTGGCCAAGGACCTAAGCATCAAAGAAACACACCCAGGAAACAGCATTTAGAAAAACCAAAAATGGGATTCAGAATCCACATACCCATCTTAATGGAGAGGGAATTATTCATGTCCAGTGTAACTTTTGAAAGACTAGAGACTAAACTTCTGGAG